ACATTCCCAACACTGAGGTCATGAGGAGGAAAATGTTATCTGCACTTGCTACCAGGTGGAGAGACTTCAAGACTTTTATTGACACTGGACTATGTATTTGGAGAGCAACAAAATGAGACTCACTGTCTAAAGTACCAGATCACTGATGAGGAGTGGATGCAATTTCGTACCACTCGATTGGACCCTTCTTGGTAGGTTAGTTATTGATAACTCTTACATTGACACAAATACTTAAGGTATATTTTAATTAATTTCATTTTCTTTTTTGTATTATTGCAGGCCAAATTAAAGAATAGTTGCACAAGAACGATAGAGCAAGAATGATGCACCCCATCTATTGTCAAGAGGGGGATATGAATTAAAAAAAAGAAAATGATGAAGGCTAGGGTAGAGGCAGCAGGGGTTGAGTCTGTTGACCGTGTGGAGTCACCTCCCCGCCATGAGATGTGGATAGCAGCCCGAACAAAATCAGATGGGCAAATGACTTCTGAGTCTGCAAGGGTCGTTGCTGATAAAATAGTAAGTAAAAATATATAAATTAAGACTCTTCATTTCAAATCATTTAATTCATAAGTGTAGTTTAAGGTATACTTATTGTTAATATATTGCAGGAGGGTTTAGTTGAGAAAACCACCCAAGGCTCATTTGTTTCCCATGGTCGAGATGATATCCTCACAACGGCCATAGGAAGGCTAGAGCACGCAGGCCATGTGCGTGGTGTTGGTGGTTCTTGGAGCCACCGAGATTTCTTTGGTGCACGATCATCGAGGAGAAGTACTGTTGACTCTTGTAGTCAAGAGGCTATGCAGTTTGAAGAAAAATTGAAGAACATTCGAGAAGAGTTATCAAATTTTGTTAAAATTAAACAATAACTTGAAGGTATCAAAATGTGCATATTTTAATATATTTTGAAATGTATATATTACGTCAATTTTATTTTATAAGAATGAAGTATTAAATCATCTTGAATTAATATAAAATTTTGTATATATGACCTAAGAGGAAAAAACATTCAACCTAATGGAATTTATAAAATTCACATTTAATATAAAGTTATTGAACGGTGTAATATTTAGCAAAAGTTATACCGATATTGTTATAACCTTCCTCATATATATATATATATATATATATATATATATATATATTTATTTATTTATACATCACCTACATAATTTTTTCTTCTTGTATTAAAAGTTGTACATTTACCATCTTAGAGACAAAGTTAAC